CTTGGGGAGCAGCTATTTTACTAGTAACTCAGTGGGAATTGGGGAGCAGCTATTTTACTAGTAACTCAGCGAGACGTGGGGAGCAGCTATTTTACTAGTAACTCAGTGAGATGTGGGGAGCAGCTATTTTACTAGTAACTCAGTGAGACGTGGGGAGCAGCTATTTTACTAGTAACTCAATGAGACTTGGGGAACAGCTATTTTACTAGTAACTCAGTGAGACGTGGGGAGCAGCTATTTTACTAGTAACTCAGTGAGACTTGGGGAGCAGCTATTTTACTAGTAACTCAGTGAGACGTGGGGAGCAGCTCTCATGCTACAAGGTTGATGACTGACAGTTGAATACTTTTTTAACTAAAGCAACCTAAGACATATTTTACACTACATTCTTCCTGGTATTCAATTAAGTTTTAAACATCATGTTGGACTGAGTATCTGTAGATAGTTTTGAATATAAATAAATTAGCAAGGTATGTCTTTTCTGTCTGCTTACCCATGTACATCTTGAAAGGTGTAATTTGCACATGCATGTTCAATGCTATACATGTAATAGGGTAGTGATTCCTTATAGCTGTACAGTAAGACATAGTCCCTTAATAATCAAATTTGATACAACAGGTAATGGAATGTACATTCTAATAGGTATTTACTGTTTCTTTTATAGAATTTTAAATGGGAGAATGCGTGATATGTTTTGTGTACTTATGTTTATATATACATCTGTTGTGACAGAGCTTGTCTCTTGATATCTGACGAGTTTATAGTCAAATATGATTGACCTTTGTTGACCTCTGTGTGGAGAGTCTTATGGGGATGATTATGGGGATGATTCAACTAATAGACAGGTCATGCACCTTTCACCTGTAATGCAGGTGTCAACTCTAATGTTATCACATACATTTGCTACCTTTTCATATATTCTATCTACCCTTTTTCATCAATACTCATAACACAAGAGGTCCTTCATGTTTTCAAAACAACATATTCCTCAGAAAACATTGTTTTATGTAAACAGATTCCCTTGTTTGTCTTGCACAGATTGAGCATCAGATGTTCCAGGCTATTTTGATATAACTGTTGACAGTCACAACAGATATTTTGCAGTTTTCCCTATTTAATTAAAGAAAAAAGTGAAAACATTTTGCAAATCATTTTGTGAGGTCTTCAGTTCACGTCCCCAATCTCAGCTTTGTCTGGTCCCAATTAGCAGTTATTCTGACCTTGACCTTGAAGGTCATGCAAGTGTACAGAAACTGGTACCCTCCTGGATGAAAGACCAGAGTCATAAACTTATCTTCAGCTGATGATTAAACTTACAGCTCTGTCTCATGCAAACATATAAAACACAGATAGTTCTCCACTAATTTGGACCTTGACGTTGGGGTGAAGGTCATGATAATGGATGGAAGGACATGACACTGTATAAGGTAAGGGCCTCACTGACAGGGAAATAACCTATCTCACCTTACTAATGACTTTTGAGTATTTTAAAGAAATAAACTTGTTCTGGCTTAAAAGATACATCTCCAACCATTAATTTTTTGGACAGGTGACCTTAATCTGTAATACAACATAACCAAACATGTTCTGTTGAAAAGAAAAAAACAATCTGTTTCGTTAAATAGCCACTGCATTTATTTGTCAATACTGATTTTTTTTTACTTCAGACCTACCAAATCATTATATCTCTTGTTTTGACATGTTTTAAGATATAAAGATGCATGTAAAAATCTCTCATGATAGGTTAGTGACTTTATGGGCTCTGTGACAAAATAGACTGATGTACAAGAAATCGTTTCTAAAAGCCATGATTAGTGGACATCCTCGGAATCCATTTCTGAATGTGATCACACATGACTCTAACAGAATGCCATCAGACATATTGGTGAGGATATCAGAGCAAGAGGACCCCTATTGATTAATCTACAAAGAACTGATTTATCGGAGGACTGTGACACAGATGAGAGGAAATGTTTATCCAGTGTATCCACACTGACCGGTGTTGGCTTTATATCTACTCCCCTGGGGCAACTCTCTAGCCATTTTTGGGGTCAAGTTGACCTACAAACTGACCAGGGCCTGTTTAATGTCCTGACCATGAAATCCTTAGCTGACTACAGAGGTCAAAGGTAACTAAAGACATAAGTCATTTTGTTGGCACTTGTGGTCATCTTCTTTGGGTCTGTTAGGCGTGATGAGTCTACTGCCATAGTAGGAGGTACTCTTACACACACAAACTACCATATATAAACACCATCTGGGCTACATGGTGTTTGGCAAAGATTTTCTTTTTCTTATCATAATTTGACACAATTTGTCAAAAAAAAACATATAAGCAAGATTTTAGAAATTAAGATTATAGCAGGGGTCAATTTCAACTGTATTTAAATCACTTGTAAATTGATAAAAGCACTAAAACATGACAAACAATTCTACAATAAGTATCCACAAACAAACCCATGAATTGAAAGAAAGGCAATTGTTTAAAGTGCTGTATATAATGTTGTGTAAGGTTTCTCATTTCTATGGATACATTGTGTGATTTTATATTGTAATTGGCTGCAGTACTAGTAGTACCTATGAGAGCAGATAACATTATCTACTAAAAGAAAATCACAACAACTGATTTTTTCCTGCTTGCAATTTTGCATAAACTTTTTTAAAGACTATTTTTACATGTTCTACAAACTTGTAATACACACCAAACCAATACATTGTACTATTAATTTTAATCCTAGTTGACTCTAATCCAACATCCTGCTATAGGCACTGACATCAGGATTTGAACACTGTAAAACACACTTGAGGCATTAAATAGTCACACTGTAACCAACTATGATTAATTTATCTACATACGTACTATAGTGAATCGTTCTTCTACAGAATCAGTGTATAGGAAACATAAGTCATCACGTTATGTCATCTGATGACATCAGTACGTGTAATAGTATTGGTAATTACAAAATGTTTCAATGTTTTGAATGGGAATTTTCTTTAATTTTTTCATTATCTTCAAAATTTAAATTTGCATGAACCAATTTTACCTAACGGTATTCAGTAATATAGATATCATCCCAGTGTGAGGTCTATGAGTACATTGTTTAATGTTGGAATAATACAGAATGATAAACTTCATGATAATCATTCGGTATTATTATTTTCATATTAAATTTATGAAACAAATTCATTTTCATATGTGATGACAACATATTTGGGTTTAATATAAAAATCAGTGGTTTATTGTAATTTGTCACAAAATCAGTGTTAAAGTGGTGTTTGTCTGTTTAAAACATAACCAGTACCAGTTACGAGTGAGTTTAGTATAGTCGACAGGGTTTATTGTAACTGTTTTTTTAGAACAAAGTAAGTGATTCCTATGATGTTCAGTTTAGAGACACTCAGAATTTACAACCACAGATAATTTTATAGCAACTTCAACTAAAAATATTGAAAGATAATAAATCACAAATCTTCATGTGATTAAAAGTTGCATTTGTTAACATAGGATGGGTAACTTATCCTTGTTTTGTTAGTAACTGTAATTAACATGATCAATATCATTGATGCTATTTTGATACTGCATTTTCATGACTATCATGATCACAATCATATCAACTGTGCAAAATGGGCTTTGGCTTTTTAAATTGTATAAAAAAAAACACACATCTCAAAACAATATGTAGATTCTTAATTGACATGCAATAATTTCAACAAATCGTCTTACATACAAGGAATTCAATCAAGGAATGAGGAAATTATTCTGTCGTTAGACAGAATGGGGTCAAAATTACCAAAAAAACCAACTCATCATAATATTGTAATTACTAAAATAATGATCATGATACTACTTATCATATTGCACCCATCATTAACAATTTTAACTTTGAGCCATAGTAATGTGATCATGGAACTTAATTTTTCCCAAAGACAACATTGACAATCCCAGACGTTATATTCAGTCCGTCAAAATAAAACAATTGGCGATCATTTGAGCACTTTACTATGAAATGCTGTATCCCCAAGATCAATATAGGTCTCCCTCTCAACAGTTCTGCCGCTCGCCACTGGTAAACAACCCAGCCCTTCCTAAAAGCATCACAGATTGACGTAGTTGGGTTCCTGTCTAAGCGTCAGCAATGAATTAATCTATCTGACTTGTGTATATTTCAATTACTGTTCTATACAAATGCTTGTAACCCTATTTTGTAAGCCGTCAAATTGATGTCCATGCCTGTGGCACTATTTACTTACAATTCATCTTGTTCAGGTGAATGGTGTACAACTGTAGGTAGTTACTAATTGTAATTTCACAATACACATGTGTCTTTATATAGACTGTATTTAAGTAATCATAAACATGGAAATGTTTCACTAAAAGTGTTTCATTCACAAAAATTTCCAAATACGCAATAACTTTTAACGTTGCACGAGACCATGAAACAACGTGGTTTTGTTTACATCGCTGCGCGTGATGTCTATAAATAGTAACAGGTTCAATATTTTTCCCCTAAAGTAATATTTTGAGTCAGCGTTCAGACCGGCTTTACATATTAATTATAAATGTAAGATAATATATACATAAAGTAAATATAATATAAACACAATTAAATCGTGTCCATGCTACGATAGGCACTGGCACATCTTTGGGTCCGTCTCGAAGCGAAGACCAACAAAAGGTAGACGGTTGTGAGTTGTAAGGTGTTGGAACTTTGTTACAACTGGGACCTCGGAAATCACAATGCTTACCCCAGACGTCCTGCCATTGTTCTAACTGCAGTCAGACGGGTCATGACGGTATTGCTGGTCTGTCTTGTCTTATCTGTTCCTGTTTTCCTCATACAAATATGATAAAAGTAAATCTTTGAAAAGATAAACACTATGCACTTCACTGTTCAATGGAGTACAAAGCACTCTACACAATGGTATGGGCCGCTTTACGATGAATATTCATAATCTAGGCCCTGATTATGGATAACATACACTGTAAGCGTTCTGGTGATCAAGACTAAAACAGGTGCTCGTTGCAACGTGACTGGAGAGCGTCGGGCGTGACAGGCAGTTAGCAGTGATAGTCCATCGACTCAGCTGTGTTAGCACATGCTTACTTTATCATTTAACTAGCATTGTAATTCTACAGAAGATGAGCGTCAAATAACAGAGGGATAACATATCTTACACGTATATCGTGTCGACGTAAACACGTCGCATTAGATACACATGTAAATACAAACGCAGCGCTGACTATCCTAACTATTATATTTCAATTAGGCCCAGAGCCCCAGTATATTGGTTACATTCCTCGATAAAGACACACTTTATCACGCTTGAAACAAGTAGTAACTAGGTAGATGATGTAATAAGGTACAGAAGCTGAGGTCACCTGAGGAATATTAAAATTTGAAGAAAAATGTCTTCTTGGAAGAAAATAAAACAGCATGGTATTTTGAGTAGAAAAACTTGTTTATTGAAAAGTAAGTGTTTAGGATAGCAGTATCATCATAAAAATGTCAGGTACGTTATAATTTTTTCGGATGGAATTTAAAAGAATTAGTGTACTGTCTTGGTTTCTTTTCCAATTACCTCACAGTCCCATGAAAATTTAAATTTTCAGTATTTCCAATTTTCCATAAAGGATATATCTGCGGTTTTTATATGTTAACTATAAACTCAAGAAGCTTGCATATAAATCACAAAAATAAAACCCAGGGAAAACAGTACATTTGTATTAATATATCCTTGGATTCGGTCTCAATTTTGTCATATTAGAACTTTTTTATCATAGAGTCTTTGGGTTAAATTTTTAAGTGATTTTATGATGCTCACAAAATCCCAAAGGAACATATTGTATTTCTTTTGCCATAAAATGCTAACATTTCCAAACAAAACCTACACAATAAAATATAAATTGATGAGGAACATGACAATGTATAGGCATGTTGCTGATGCTGCAGATACTGTCACTTTTATCTTTGCTCTAATATTGATTGACAGAAGAAATGATCACAATATCTGAGAGAAAATAGAGTATTACTGAATTTCCCCAGAGATTAAACACAAATTCAATACATCCTGTATATAATGTGATTACTCCTTGGTATTTAAAATGCCACCTATGAGGGACCAATCGGGGAGAGGAAGCAACCCCCAGGGGGACCAGCTCTGTCCTGGAAGCAGAATTTTGATGTGTAGATGTAGTTTGTTCATGGTTATAATTAATTTAATGGAAGCTAGGGAAGTGGTGTAGATTTGTGGATGATGTACCATTCTGTCTTTATCAGCTTCCTGTATTGATTGTCTCACAAAAATATGTATTTCTTCCAGGAGTATCCATTGAGGATACCATACACACGTGTTGCTGTGGTTTGCCAATGCAAGTCATTTTGATTGTTGTGACTCATATAGTATACTTACTGTTATATGTATAAAGATAATTCACGATAGTATGTGTGAAATCAGAAAACAGTGATTACAATTCTTCCTAAAAGACTATTGGAAATGCCACCTATGAGGGACCAATCGTGGAGATTTTTTTTATTCAAGAAATCATGACTTTCAAAACAGGTTCTGCAAATTAAATCTGTTGAGATTAATTTCTGCTCCAACATTGCTATGAGGATTTGGATTCCAATACATGTATGTTATATTTAATTTCTGAGAAAAAGCTGGATTGATTGACAGTCATAAACAAAAATGGATATATATGTTACATTGTATTTACATGCACAACAAACAAGAAGTCCATGCATGCTAACTATATTATTTTGTTTTCTGTTCACAGCACTGCGGAATTTGGATATTTGACACCATCTTTCTTCATTTTCGGTCTTTCTTCATACCTGCCAAATGTTTGGTCGGCAGGCTGGATGGCGTTACCATACAGCTCACTGGGGTAAAGTGATGAGTTCATTAACTGTGGTGCCAAATCCTCCCGGAGTCCCCCACCACCCAGGCTCTGCAGCCAACAATCAGTGAGGTGGATAAACTATTACCACAATATTTGTTTACCTTGACAAAGGTAATTAAAGAAAACACACTGCTAACACATACCATGCAGACCTAACAAGAGCCTAAGTTGTAACAAGTCATAGTTAAAAAAAAGATGAGGCACCATTTCTTTACAGTGATATCTGTACTTACTTGTGTGCATCAGATTGCAATGCAAAACACATTTTTAATAGAAGAGAATGACTCTTATCTAAATTCAAATCCCAACTATTTTCACCAAATCAATGTCATTACCATATTAGCTTGACTTGAGGGAATTTCCCAAAATACAGTGATTTTTACCAGTTCTGGCCTCAACCTTTTTCTTTTCGATTTGCCTACATTTTGAGAACTCGCTATATTGTCTCTTAATAATGGGACACATCATGATTTTGAAAAACAATTTTCACTGGTTTGCATGGATTTTCTTTTTAAATTCCCTTTGAAAAGGTCAGTAGAAGAGTGCCTGACAAACAAATGTTAAGTCAATGGTTCAATCCTCCTCAGCAGAGGAACATATCCAATGCATTAAGTCCTGTTTCAATCTTAAGGTTCAACTGTAAGAAAATATAATAAGTTTTAGCATCTGAAGTTATATTTACGAAGTTTTGCATACCTGCTAATTACTATTAATCTGGAGTTAATGAAGCATGCAGTGGTAGTGTAGAATCATTAAACATCTTATCATCCTCAGACATGTTAACTGGGGGGTAAAGTTGGATTTGTGGCAAAATAAAACCTTGCTCAGCTATTCCACCTATGTAAATGTCTCGGCTGTAGATTTGTAAATATGGGGGAATAAAATATAACAAAGATAATATATCTGTGGTTTACCTGTGTCAGTGATACAGTTATCCTTCTAAATGATATGTCCTTTATAGGTGTGGTCCTGTTTGTGGGTCATAGCGCTAAGTCACCGATAAAGTAAAAGTGACATCACATTTCTTAATGTCAGGCTCTTAATGTCAGGCTGTGTATATGGAGAGTAAGACCATACAAAATTCAGTGGAGCCTGTCTAAACCAAACCACAAAAGGTTCAGCATTTCTGTTCAGATAAGGCAGGTTTTCTGATTACACAAGTTCAAACATAGTCTTAAAATGGTACAGATTTATATGAAGAAATGTCTTATACAAGTAATTGGATTAAACAGGGTTTGATTAAGACAGGTTGCATCCCTTCATCAGGTACAAGGGTCATAACTCAAAAGTGAGAGTGTCATTGTCATTTGTTTTAAAAGCAACTTTATACCAGTCTGCTGATAAAATAGACAACCATTTTTTTGTTCCAAATATGCAATATGTATTGTACCAGTTGCGACAAAACATTTTGCTTACAATTGTTCTGAATTGGTCTAAAATTGCCTAAAAAAGTTTTTGTAAGTAATGTTTAAGGCCATGAAAGGAATGACACCTTTCACAGATATCAGATGTCAAGGTCATCCAGGGTGCCCTTGCTAATTTTTGAATTCTGTAGAAAAGGTGCAAGTCAAGAATCAGAATATAGGATTACTGAGGTCTTTATCAGCTATGTCTGTATTACAAACACCAATACATATCTCCTAGACAGTTAACACCTGAACACATGTTTATCTTGTTAAGTACTAATAATTTTATTTTATTTTTATACCTATGTTCATGTTTGATACATGTATGCATATAATGATATATAATTGGTTTCCACCACTATGAAGTGTAAACGCTTTTATATAAAAAAAACTGTGTGTGTGAGTGGTTGTAAGCTTTGTCCTTATGGAAGCAGGATCCTCGTTTGAGTGGTGGTGTGCAGGGGGTACCCTGCAGGAGTGGAGTACGGCCTCACAGGGTGATACCCGGTAACTGTCTTCCAAAGGCAACCCTGAGGACAGTAGATATCAGGCAGCAAATAATTCAGAGTCAAAGGTCAGGTCAGGTAACAACAGCCTCATAATATTAGCAGTGTATTAACACACTAGACCTGATCTGTGAAAGCCACGCACGACATAGCTCATCATAAATAACATATAACAATAGCTGCATGTGGTTGTACCGGACTACGATCTAGTCAGGGATTTCATACAAAGGTAGTCATTGGGTTTTATAACAACTTAGTGACAGCGGAAACTTTCTATTATCTTCACAAATATTTGTTATTATTTATTCAATCAGGTATGAGCTTGACGATATTTGTTACAAAAATCTCCTTGATATTGCTCATTGTAAGCTTTTTGTTTTGGCACAATATCAACTTTGTTATTGAAGATCCTGTCCAGAGATTGACTCGTTAACTACACTAATTAGTTGTTATAACTGTTTCCTTGTTCTGAAAAGTTAACACTGTAAGTGAGTAGATTTGATTAAATCATAATTTTTTGTTTTACTCTTCAGGTGTTTTTTTTTAAATTTTATAGAAGATGGGAGACAACTCATGACTGGAGGAGCTTATTTTGATGAGGCGTGAAATGCAAGTAGTGACACAGCAGATTAGGCGGAGCAGAGATGATATTGGTAATCAGACAGCACTCCCAGTGGCAGCTATCAGTGCAGGCAATGACGTTACCAGTAGTCGTCCAAACATGGGGTCCTACGCTACCAGCACTGAAACGCTTTATTCCCAATCAATATACAAGCTAATGAAATATTAATAGTTCTGAACAAAATGCTACAAAATCGTTGTTGTTGGTCCCTAATCATAGGCTTCTCTGAAATCAAATGAGCTCAATAGGTTCTTTGCCTGTCAGTCTGCCAGTAAGACTAGCACGCAGGCCATCCACTGTGGACTAACTAACAGGGATTCCGACAAAATTAATTGAATCTTATGCACATGAGTATTGTTCACCACTGAGTGCACAAAACAGCATAAATCACCCACAACCCAAATGCAATAGGGAAAAAAAGGCATCTCTTTTCCACTGATGCATGATCAAGATTTTTAATTTCATGATGACTAGTGTTAACGATGGGCAGACAACTCTCTCAGGCTACAGCAGCACAGAGATACATTGAACATTACATTAAGTTCGGAATAAAATATTTATGAATTGGCTTCTGATATAACTGCATCAAATGAAATTACAGAAGGGCTGGGCTGGTGGTGGCAGTGTTTGTCTGCCTACGGTCGGGCCATGGTAATGAGGACTGGTAGCTGGGCGGAAGTGCCGACCAAACACTCAGCTGATTATGACAATGATGGGGGTTTTGAGGATAAGGACCATAAAAGACAATAAACCAATGTTACAGAGCTGGAGCAACTTGAGCATGTATTGATCAGATAATTTGTGCACGTAGGGCAGCTAATATCACACAATTACCGCGCGAGGAGGTGCAAACCAAAGGAGGGACAGCAGCAAATGATCAATAATGTATATATAGACATCCGCTTTATTTAGGTACGGCTAATTGATCAATTCCTACACAAGTATTTGGTGATATTCAAACCTGACCATAAATATGGCAGCGAGTGCCGATACTTTTTCTAAGTAGGGTTACGCTGCGTACATATGGCTGTCAATCACTTGCTGGCCCCGTATCTGTCAATCATTACTTGGACGATATCAAGACAATGTTACTAGAAGGAAAGGTACTGGATAAAGGTCAAAGGCTGATGTCACTTGTCTTGCTGTAGAAATGGAATTATTGTATCCATTAGGTGTCAGATTTTATGGGGTCTTACTCTCAACGATTTAAAAAAAAAAAGCATAATACTTATACAGTTTTAAAGGTCTGCAGATTTCAGTGAGATGATGGATGTTGGACGGGGCCAGAAGACATTAAATTGTGCATGGAAAGGGGCCAAGGATTTGCTAACCTCATTTTGAGGTTACTGGTTTCCTAAAGAGGTTATTGTCAGAGCTGTACTTATTCTATGTACTATTTCACGCTTTCAATACAAGTTTGGCATTGCATGTGGAATTTCAGAGGAGCATTTTTTTTGGTGTGATTTATGTGTTGGGAAGTTTAAGTGTATGTATTGATAGGTTACACAACTGCTACACAGCTATCCTGTAGAAAAGCAAACATTTCAAAATCCCAAGCAGCAAAAAAAAAAAAACCAGACGTCTTTACCAACATTGGCGTCTGCGGGGGAAAAAAAGTTTTGAAACATTTTAAATGGCATCAGGTTAAAAAATATTTTCCACAAAATCAACATTATGAACCATTTTACATAATTAAATTGTGTTTTAATCAGTGCAAATTATTGTCATGTTTTTTTTATACAAATAAAATTTGACAGAATGATCCTTTGCAGTGGTGTTTGAGAATGGCTGTAAGGCCTGTTAATGTGGGCCAGTTTCCCTATCGGGTAGTATCCTATAGGCGTGCACAGGTAAGCTTTGTTCACTAGGTGTACACTTCATATGTTAGCCTTTTTTGTCCAGCACAGATGTAGCTGTTCAACACAGATGTAGCTCATACAGGAATTGGGTATGTTTTTAGGCAGCCATTGTTTGATATTTGATACTCGTCTGTCCCAGCGCTACCTGTGTGTACATCAAGGTGTGTAAAGCATTACACTATTCAAACTCACTCGGGTAAATCAGGATTTCCATCGCCAATCTGTGTTTAACCTTTATTCTCAAAGCAAAAATAAAGGACAAGTAGATATCCTGTATATATGATAATACACCAACACTTCGTGGACGAGACATACCTAGGTACAAGCAAACAATATTGAATTCACTGACTTTTAAAATAACATGTCAAACACTTACTGGATAAACATTAATATTGCAATTTAGAACACCCTAGATAGCCTGTCGCCAACCTGAAATAGACTTAACAATTTTACAATGAAGTACATTAACGATTTGCTGGATATGATATAGAGATGGTAATATGCACCGAGTCTAATGTATCCGTTTTCCCTTACTCTAGTCTAAAGCTGTGAAATGCTCATTTCCTCTACTCTGAAATTTGAGAAGTATTGGAGGGTTTTGGTTTTAAATACTTTGATGAGAATCATTTTTAGGACAACCTTTTTTTTCCTGTGGTATTTTTTTTCTGGATTCCTAGGCTGATAATAAATCTGTAAACCTCTTGCATTTGGTCTCCGTGGCAACCGTGAGCAACTTGTACTGGTACAAGGGATGAGTATATTATCTTTCTTTCCCTTACAACTATAGATTTTACTACAAATTACAGTAGATGTTTTGCAGTTATAGTCCCTGTGCTCGAAAAGAAAAGGAAAAATGCTTGCAATAAAACTAAAACTGAATGAAAACCAGTTTAAAACAATTTTTCAAAACAACAGTTATGAACTTATATTAAGCATTTTTGTTGGCTCGGAGTGAAGCTTCAAGGGGGACTTCATATGGGACACAGAGAAGGAACCCCATGTGGACAGGCAGGTGACCCCATACCTTTACATGACTAATCAGTGAATCAAACCCCAACCGTCTTGTTAAATGGGGAGTGTGCAAACCATTGTGCCAACCGACCAACGAAAAATCAGATTATTAGAGAGGAATGAAAGACATGTTAATTAAACATTATCTAAATGTTGACCCAGTATTAGGTCCAGATTGGAGAAGATACAGTAATTATGTTTATATATAGGACAGTTATCTAGTGTGCTCCCCAAGGTTGATATAGATGCTACTATAAAAAGCCTATAAAATAGTTTTGGATTTGCTTTTTTATCTTTAAAAAGTCAGAATCTGTAACTGGAGGAAACGTAGGACTGTAAAATCTTGCTGGCTGAATGGGAACAAAAAAACAATGTTACAATTTTTATTGGACATCTTTACAGCAAAGTGAACTCTCATGTCCAAATTACTTTGAATTGTTTGATTAAGAGGCAAGCCTGGGTATCTATGGGAAAAAAGTCAATGATAACAAGTTTCTCTAAATAATAGATACAACATCTTCATTTATCATACAGATGGAGGGGCGCTGAGAGCATTAGGAAGGGCAGTTTTTGTGGTCTATACTTGGATCATAATATATTAATTGCTGGTAATCCCGCCCCCCTTATTTTGAAGCCACACATTCGGTCAAATAACATAATTTATTGAATAACAATCAAAGGGATTGGTGGGCAAAGTTCTCATCGATACGAATGTTTGTGTATAGTATCTTGAATTCAGTATCCAGTATCTAGTATATATCCAGTATTTGGTATCCAGTATCTGGTGTACAGTATCAAGTTTATAACATCTAGTCTACATAATGTAGTATATAGTATCTGGTATCCAGTATCTAGTCTACATAATGTAGTATCCAATATATACTTAACAGTAATTAGTATACAGTATTTGCTATCCAGTATCTAGTCTACATAAGTAGTATCCAATATATACTTAACAGTAATTAGTATACAGTATTTGGTATCCAGTATCTAGTCTACATAAGTAGTATCCAATATATACTAAACAGTAATTAGTATACAGTATTTGGTATCCAGTATCTAGTCTACATAATGTAGTATCCAATATATACTTAACAGTAATTAGTATACAGTATTTGGTATCCAGTATCTAGTCTACATAAGTAGTATCCAATATATACTAAACAGTAATTAGTATACAGTATTTGGTATCCAGTATCTAGTCTACATAATGTAGTATCCAATATATACTTAACAGTAATTAGTATACAGTATTTGGTATCCAGTATCTAGTCTACATAAAGTCTACATAATGTAGTATACAATATATACTTAACAGTAAATAGTATACAGTATTTGGTATCCAGTATCTAGTATACAGTATCTGGCATCCAATATCTAGTATACAGTATCTGATATACAGTATCTGGTATCCAATATCTAGTGCAGGGGTGTGTCCAGGTGAGGGCGTAATGGGCGTACGCCCCCCCCCCCCCCTTTCAAAAAAAAACAACAAAACACCTCGTAATCTGCTTATATTGTATTGAATATGGCAATTTATCATATTCATTAATTAAACACAAACACCCTGACGCTATAACTATAAAATATACATGTCAAGTCAGGAACCGTTACATTAGTGCATTTCACAATTATTTTTTGTTTTTTAGCAAAAAAGAGGTCCACATTTTTTTTCGCACCGCTCTGCTCGGCGAAAGTTTGATTCTACGCCCCCTTTTTCAAATATCCTAGAAACGCCCCTGTAGTATACAGTATCTCGTATCCAATATCTAGATTCCAGTAAATAGTATCCAATATCTAGTATACAGTATCTGGTATCCGTTATCCAATATCTAGTATACAGTATCCAGCATCTGGTATCCAGTATCTGGTATTCAATTTTTGGTATCCTTTATCTGGTATTGGGTTACTAGTATGTATTGCCTAACATACAGTTTCTAGTATTCAGTATCATGTATGTGTATCTAGTATACAGTATCTAGTATCCAGTAGCATATAGGTTTTAGAATATATTGTTTAGTATACAGTATTTAATATACATATCTTGCATACAGTTTTGTTGTATACATGTACAGTGTTTTGTATAAATATCTAGAACAACCTTTTTTTGGCTTTTGATTCATTGTGAAGAAAAACAAGTCAAAAGGATTTGATGGAAGGAAGATGGGTCTCTGACAAGTCAGGATGACTGTTTGGTGGGTTGGGTTTCATCCTTGGCAAATACATCTGGTTACTGATAGAATTAATACACCTAGCATCTTAAATTACATCTCTCTATGAATGATTAACTTCTGGAGGAAATGAAGTTCTGCTGGGCCAGGAAATCTATCAAGTGACCCAGGATTCCTCAGTTTGTCATGTTTTGCAGAACTCTTGTGTGTATTATAACATATTACAAGTGCATGTGCGGTGTTGGCTAGGTGTAGAGACTGGGAGCTAGGGAACATTAGAGTTTATGATGGGCAGATCCTACTTCTCCTTACTTAAGAGTTTATACAAGGGCTAGGAATTCTAAACATCTGATACAGAAGTTAACTCCATCAATCCAATTAGGTCTGTTGTGTTTTCTACATTTCCTTTGGACCTTGTCAAACAAAAGAGTTGTTGTATATAAAGATGGAAACCAATGTTAGAGATATCTTTGCTGTTCTGCCTAAATATTTCAGCCCCTTTTTACAGCTTTTTGTGTCTGTTTTTTGTACAGTGGAATTCTGGCCTCCTTAAGAGCCTCTAATTCATGTTTATGTCAACAATACTGTGTAGACCAGTTTAACAGCATTTAGTTGGAAATACGTTTTTCCTCCTTTAATTATTTTTTTAGTTGAGGTTTAAATTATGGATTTGGAAAGTGAAGAGTGGGCCAGTGATGACTACAGCAGGGACTAGATACTGGTTTATCTCACACACATTGTGTATGTGTGGTAGGCAATAGTTTCTCTTGCAAAAAAAATTGATGATGGGCCAATTCTATAGATAAGAAGAAAAGGCTTGCCTGTAAACAGCTCCTTTTCCCCCTACCAACCTCAGAGGTCATTTGGACTTGGGTGCAAATCGTTCCAATCGTTTCTCTGGTTAACATTTTATTTTTGGAGAAGCATGGGTATATCAAATATCTTACTTACAATCATGTGCATACCAACTTAGAATTGTGAAGTTACATACCAAGGCCACCAGAATTGATCTCGTGTGTTAAGATAAGTGTAGCTTAATATTACGCTGTACCTGTTTCTTGTAAAAAATTGTTTCAACTCAAAATGAAATTAAGTAAAATTATCATGCTTGCTATAGTATTTTTAAAAAAGTGAAAATGAGAATTTTTCAGGGCTAATGATTTGGTAATCAAAATCATGGCTTTACATATTAAATGTATCGTAGTAAATAAAAGGAAATTTATGTAAAACTATTGTTCTGGCAAAAAAAACACCATTCAACATAATCTTAGTGTTTTACAATTAATGCATTGATTCAAATAGTCATGCTGTTATTGTTTATTATATTGAAAATGTATAAGCTATTTGCGGTGTCTGTATTTTCTTCTGCAGATAGACAGTATAGCTGTCCAATTGTCGGCAGCGAAAATGGTCGATGGCTTGTTTAACAGACTGCTGATGTTGCAGATACAGACAGGTAAGGTCCGTGATTTGCAGGTACCATAATAGGATTACAGTTCAGTGATGGGGCATTAGAGGCAATCAATAGCAAAGATTAGTGTACTTCAATACCACATGAGTAAGCTAAATATAGCTGGACAGGTAACCTCTGTCATACATTAGCATTTAACAATTGCACAAATCGTTTAACTACCAACAACATTATAAGGCTACTTCTTCAGAGCAACTCATTAATCTTGATTCTATAAACTATGCAAATACTGTACATGTATAACATACTGAGCCCAAAAAACCTGATGATCATACATTATCACAACACTAGAGAACCACACACCTTGACCGAACAATAAAGAAACACGCACCATGATGAAGAATACTAGAACACCTCACACCCTCACACAGAATACTTAAACACCACACACCCTCACACAGAACACTAGAAAACCACACACCTTGTCCTTGACAAGTAAAGAAATGCACACCTTGATGGAAGATACTAGAACACCACACACCATCACACAGAACTCTAGAGAACCACACAATCACACAGAACACTAGACAACAACACACCTTGACAAAGGACATCGGAGAACCACACACCTTGGAGAATCACAAACCTTGACGAAAAACACTAAACAACCACGCACCTTGACATGGAACATCTTAGAACCACACACCTGCACAAAGAACAATAGAAAACCACATACCTTGGCATTGAACATCAGAGAACCATAAACCTTCACACAGAACATCAGAGAACCATAAACCTTCACACAGAACACTAGAAAACCACACACCCTCACACAGAATACTAGAAAACCACACACCATCACACAGAATACTAGAAAACCACACACCATCACACAGAACACTAGAAAACCACACACCCTCACACAGAACACTAGAAAACCACACACCCTCACACAGAACACTAGAAAACCACACACCCTCACACAGAACACTAGAAAACCACACACCCTCACACAGAACACTAGAAAACCACACACCCTCACACAGAACACTAGAAAACCACACACCCTCACACAGAACACTAGAAAACCACACACCCTCACACAGAACACTAGAAAACCACACACCCTCACACAGAACACTAGAAAACCACACACCCTCACACAGAACACTAGAAAACCACACACCCTCACACAGAACACTAGAAAACCACACACCCTCACACAGAATACTAGAAAACCACACACCTTCACACAGAATACTAGAAAAACATGCAAACTGACAAAAACAAACTAGAAAACTATAGACCATCCGTTCACAAAGAACATTAGAGAACAATACACTGCACACAGAACACTGGAGAACAATACACTGCACACAACACTGGAGAACAGTACACTGCACACAGAACACTGGAGAACAATACATTGCACACAGAACACTGGAGAACAATCCACTGCACACAGAACACTGGAGAACAATACATTGCACACAGAACACTGGAGAACAATCCACTGCACACAGAACACTGGAGAACAATACATTGCACACAGAACACTGGAGAACAATCCACTGCACACAGAACACTGGAGAACAATACATTGCACACAGAAAACTGGAGAACAATACACTGCACACAGAACACTGGAGAACACACACCCTCACACAGAACACTAGAAAACCACACTCCCTCACACAGAATACTAGAAAACCATGCAAACTGACAAAAACAAACTATAAAACTATAGACCATCCGTTCACAAAGAACATTAGAGAACAATACACTGCACACAGAACACTGGAGAACAATACACTGCACACAGACCACTGGAGAACAATACACTGCATACAGAACACTGGAGAACAATACACAGAACACAGGAGAACAATAAACTGCACACAGACCACTGGAGAACAATACACTGCATACAGAACACTGGAGAACAATACACAGAACACAGGAGAACAATAAACTTCACACAGACCACTGGAGAACAATACACTGCATACAGAACACTGGAGAACAATACACAGAACACAGGAGAACAATAAACTTCACACAGACCACTGGAGAACAATACACTGCATACAGAACACTGGAGAACAATACACAGAACACAGGAGAACAATAAACTGCACACAGACCACTGGAGAACAATACATTGCACACAGGCCACTGGAGAACAATACACTGCACACAGAACACTGAAGAACAATACACTGCACACAGAACACTGAAGAACAATACACTGCACACAGAACACTGGAGAACAATGCACTGCACACAGAACACTGGAGAACAATACAGTGCACACAGAACACTGGAGAAAAATACACTGCACACAGAACACTGGAGAACAATACACAGAACACAGGAGAACAATAAACTTCACACAGACCACTGGAGAACAATACACTGCATACAGAACACTGGAGAACAATACACAGAACACAGGAGAACAATAAACTTCACACAGACCACTGGAGAACAATACACTGCATACAGAACACTGGAGAACAATACACAGAACACAGGAGAACAATAAACTGCACACAGAACACAGGAGAACAATACATTGCACACAGAACACTGGAGAACAATCCACTGCACACAGAACACTGGAGAACAATACATTGCACACAGAAAACTGGAGAACAATACACTGCACACAGAACACTGGAGAACAATACATTGCACACAGAAAACTGGAGAACAATACACTGCACACAGAACACAGTAGAACAATACACTGCACACAGAACACAGGAGAACAATACATTGCACACAGAACACTGGAGAACAATACACAGAACACAGGAGAACAATAAACTTCACACAGACCACTGGAGAACAATACACTGCACACAGGCCACTGGAGAACAATACACTGCACACAGAACACTGGAGAACAATACACTGCACACAGACCACTGGAGAACAATACATTGCACACAGGCCACTGGAGAACAATACACTGCACACAGAACACTGGAGAACAATACACTGCACACAGACCACTGGAGAACAATACACTGCACACAGAACACAGGAGAACAACGACTTGAAGCAGAGCACTAGAAAAATCAACAACTTGATACAGAACAATAAAAAACCAAGGAACAAGACACAACACTAGAAAACCAAACAATTTTACACAGAACACAAGAGATCTGTAGAAAAGCAACAATCGTGCCTTGTTATTGAACCCTATGGAACCTTAAAGACAAGATTAACCTTGACAATGAACTCTATGGAACCTAAAAGACAAGATTCACCTTGACAATGAACTCTGGAGAAGCATTGATTAAATTGTAGTTTGTTTTTTTTTCTTTACGAAACATTGTTTTGGGGTTGTAAATGCTATTTTTCTTCGATTAGGAAGATTAGTTACTACTTTCTTGTTGCTGACCCCTAGGGATTCAGTGATGCCTGTACCAGTACCACATCAACATGCCAATGTCATCAGCTGAGCAGTTTGATGGTCTGGAATATAGCTACCACAGGTAAAGCAATCGGTCTGCATTCTCCGTCAGATAAAAAAAGATTCTTGGCTAATACGTTTTCAAAAAAGGCACTTCTTCAATTTCAAAAGCAGTTGATTCAGTTATATAAATGCTTCATCGTTAGGTAAACAAATCTGATTTGGTATTGCCTGCTTCTTTAGACAATATACACCCTTATCCCATTTGATATCACCCAAAGTGCATTACAAGACTTGCAATGAAAAAGAAGAGTCTGGTAGCTATGGTGACAAAGGACTTGTGGGAAATTGCTTAAAATGTTTTCATCAAAGGCTGAAGTAGAGTGCGTTGGGGCATTTAATGCCTGGTGTCATATAAATGTAATTGAAACATGCCAGCAGAGGAAAAGCTTTGCTTCGTGGAAGCTCCAGCAATCAATTACCAATTCCATGAGCTGATTTTATAGATACACTGAAGGCCTTGACTTAGCCATGTGATAGAGTGAGGTGCAGTAACACAGTCTGATCATGATGGTTTATATACTAATTATGACTCTCGCTCCGGCCCACTTTATGACAACAGGATGACGGCCTAGCACATTAACCAATTGAAATGGTCCTTACTCTGATTTTCTCCCTTTCGATGATTAGAAAACAGGAACCATCAATTATTTACAAATATGAAATAGATTTAAGCGATATTGTATGGGCATACTTGTTATACTTGCCGTAATCTTTAAAAAGTAGATTTGCTTTTATGCCGATGACTCATTTTGGTTTGGGGAAAAAAAGGAACAAATACAAGAAGTGTATTGATTGGACCAACATGGATGACAGTAGAGTATGTGATTTGCCTGTGGTTTATTGTATGCTTTTCTCCAAATGACATAAAATGGCATAGTTCGACATCCAGCTCGTACTGCGGCACATAAAAGCACACACTGTGTTTATAACTTGGATGTAATAGCGAGTGGCGATTAAAGGGCAGGAGTGTCCAAAGTGAGGTATTGATCCTAGCCCCGCTCAACCCCAGCTTCTGCTGCTCTGGCAGGAAAATAGATCTCTAGCAAAATTGAATGATCTAATAACGTCCAGTCAATCCGTTCAATCCTTCCAATACTGCTATTTATTGACTTCACATTCCAGGATTCTAGAGTTGTCTCTCTTTGTGTAAATGGTCTAATGGTTGTCATTCAAAATAAAGATAATATGAATATGTAATTAAAAGAAATAAAGAAAAATTAAAGTGAAAACTGGTTATTAGTGTAGTATTTAAAAGAGAAATGTTGACGCTGTAAGTGACATACCTGCAGCCTTTGAAGACAATTTGTCCCGGTGTGCTGCACATACTGCCAACAAGCGATAGCCAAGGTCAAGGTCATAGCCAGGTTGGGTAGACACTTGACTCACAACCTGAAGAAGAAAAAAAATGGAATGGTAAGTTTGACAACATTGTACGTACTATGTACAGATAATTTGGTGAATCATCCTCTTAAGTAAGCAAACAGGAAACGGGATGCTCTCGAACAAATGTGCGTTGGAGTCAGTCGATATTATTACCCGTTACTTCCAAATTTTCACACAATGTCAACCTAAAGACATGTTGTTATAACATTTTACCAAATTTTATAGATACTGACAGATAAAGATTAGATTTGTTACCTGAGATGAAATATTGTACACCTGTACTTCCTTAATTGTTCTTGTGGGTTACACTAATCAGCAGGCTAGTTGTCATGGTAACAGGTACAACAAAGGGGACATTTGGTGTTGCTACTATTTATTGGTTACCTATATTGTAAACATATTGAGAAATGTATTCTACATCAAACTATCGATGAAATAAGTACATGGAAACTTGATAAAATGGAATTGAAATGATTTCCTTATTATCTACATCCCTATACTGTACTAACCATACATTGTTAAAATCCGACATTGTTTAGTATCTGTTGCATGACTGGTCAAGATATCGTGATCGTTGATCATATTTAGATAAGATTTGTTACTGGTGTTGACATTACAGCACTGATTACTGTTATACTGTATACTGAGCCTCAGGACCGAGCTCACTCAAAATGACATGGTACAGGTTGGCAGGATATATGTATATATAATACCCTTATGACATAGAAATTAAGCAATTTATACTTATAACATGCTTTTTCTCCTGCCCTTTTTCCCTACTTCTGGCGCCTTACTCAGCTACTCTTAGCCCCTTTCTCCATAGTCATGGCCCTTTACTCTGTTACTCCTGATCATTTACTTCCCTACTCCTGGCCCCTTGCTTCCCTATTCCTGGCCCGTTGCTTCCCTATTCCTGGCCCCTAACCCCAATACTCTTAGCCCCTTACTCCTATATTCCTGACCTCTTACTTCCTTAATCATAGCTCCAAAAAATACTCTCATATTCCTGTCCCTTGGCCCCTTACTCCCATTCTGCTGGCCCCTTACTTCCTTACCTCTCCTGGCCCCTTATTCCCATTCTGCTGGCCCATTACTTCCTTATTCCTGGCCCATTAATACCATTCTGCTGGCCCATTAATTCCTTACTCTTGGGCCATTACTCCCATTCTGCTGGCCCCTTACTTCCTTACCTCTGGCCCCTTACTCCCATTCTGCTGGCCCCTAACTTCCTTACTCCTGGCCCCTTATTCCCATTCTGCTGGCCCCTTACTTCCTTACTCCTTGCCCATTACTCCCATTCCGCTGGCCCTTTACTTCCTTACTCCTGGCTCAATACTCCCATTCTGCTGGCCCCTTACTTCGTTACTCCTGGCCCTTTATTCCCATTTTGCTGGCCCCTTACTTCCTTACTCCTGGCCCATTACTTCCATTCTGCTGGCCCCTTATTTTCTTACTCCTGGCCCATTACTCCCATTCTGCTGGCCCCTTAATACTTCCTTACTCCTGGCCCCTTACTCCCATTCTGCTGGCCCCAAACTCCCCTACCCCTTGTCCCTTACTTCCTCTCTCTTGGCTCCTTACTCCAATTATGCAGACCACTTACTCCCCTAATCGGGGCCTCTTATTTTTCTTCTTATAGCCCTTTACTCACCTACTCGTGGCCTTTTACCCCCATTCGACTGACCCCTTACTTCCCTACCCCTGGCCCCTTACTTCCCTATTCGGGGCAACTGTTTCTGATTCCCCTCCTACTTGCTCCTATTTATTTCTATTCTGTCTTCCTCTAATTTTCATTTTTGTCCTGTACTCGTCTACCCTGTTTCATTCCTGTGCTTCCCCTTGTGCCTCTCCCTATCATCCATTTCAATAACATAATTGATGAAGACATTGTTGTTCATACTTGTCCCTCAATTATAAAAATTGTAGTTATTTAATATCATTATAGCTAGGTGCTTTTATCCTATTTAAGACTTGTAAGTTTCAACAAGCTGTAGGGTAAATGAGTGATTTTCAATAATTGATCAATACATTGTGTATGTGTATTTATTTCTGAGATACTATCATTACAATCACTGAGTTACATGTTTGTTTATTTAGTTGTTATTGTAGTTAAATCCTTCGTGGTCAATAGACTAGAACACTGTGTAAATATTTCGGTGATAATATCTCAATTGTATTGGTTAGTACCGGTAATTTTCCTTTGTGTAATACAAATGTGTACGACTGCTTGACTTGTACATAAGAATTGACGTAGTTGAATATCATGTGATTGAATGTTTTTTTAATCAGCCGATATTGTCACCTGGAGTTTGTTTACCGGGTATGAAATTTAAATACGGCACCTTTGTGATCTCTGACCTACATTAGCTAAAAGACTTACTTTTTAACCGAGCTGAAGAAAGAGGTATAAATAGACAACAAATAATCCTTTTATTCATTAAATGAATCACGGTTTCTGGTAACAGTTTCTAACACTCCCTTAAACAAGTACCTGTTGACATAGCCCCGCTCTTGACAATTCACTGACAAATTGTGTTTGGTATGGGGAGAATTTTCCTTAAATATGTACCTGGACAGTCACAAAACCACATCTATGCAATAAATAAAAGTAAAGAGATAAAAAAAAACTTTTAAAATTCTCTTTTAGAGTTTTCTTTGAAGAAACATGTTACTTTAAAGTTAAAGGCGGTACATTAATACATGTGAAACGGACTGATCATCATATTGCTTGGGCTGTCAAGATTTAGATCAGACCTGTACACTTGAGCTATGAATAAAGGACAAAAAACTGAAGCTTACATAAAGATAGATCATAATGCACCAAAACACCTTCTATTCCTGGAACAATGTTGTCTGGGAAATTATAATCTGATTTATAAAAACTCTGTGTAATTAATTTAATGTAATGGATTGTGCTGCAAATGGCAAGTAAAGGATTTGGTTGGATTCCTAGATACACATTTCATTCCCTCCAAGAACTTTGCATTGTTTCAAATCTATTACTGGAGATATTTCATAGACAGATACAAATCCAATCTACAGCATATTCAGTGACCTTTGACCACTGCGAGTTATCATTGGAGCTGTATAATTACAGCAAGTCTGCAAGCCAGGACTCAATTGTACCAACACACGGTGATACATCTACAGAAACCGATTGACATTGTGTAAACTATTACGGTAATCAGCATTTCACCATCTCTCGATATTGATCAAGATAAAAATCTATACCTAATTGCCACTTTCTTTTTAAAATTTCCAGGCCAAATACTTACCAAAACATCAATTATAAAAACAAGTAAGCTTGTTTCTTTCAATTGACCTTTAGTGTACCATGTCAAGGTCACAGAAAAGTAACTTAATATTAGAATACTGATAAGGTAGGTGCATTATGGGACTGTTTCCATATTTGGGAATTTCATATACTGTACATGCACCACTAAAATCCTCTTGAGGTTTAAAGAGATATTTTGGAAATGGAGAAGCTGTATGCAAAGTTAGATTACTTGGTAGTTGGGATTAAGGGGGATACAAGATTACCAGGAAATAGGAATGGTGTGGCTTGGTTACTGTGCCAATAATTGGTGTCTGTCTGAGCTTCTCTAGCCAGACATATAAACCTCGTTTTTTTACTGTGTATATACCAGACAGTGTATAGGCCTGCAGTCCTTAAGTGTCTCTTTCTCCACTAGAATTTGATAATGGAATTTGTGGAGAAAAGCAAACCAGCTGAATCTGTTGGGGGAGATATTATAACTGTCTGGTGGAGTTTTGTTTTCAATTCAGTCAACAAAAACCAGAAAGAGTTGTTCATCATTTAACATCAGGCTTAACAATCATGGACAAAAGGTCTTGGTCAGTCAGTGGTCAGTGACGGTCGAGTGCCTCCAGGTGACACGTTAGGCTCAGGTAGACCTAAGCCACCTAACTGTGGAAATCCTGATAAGATCATTGTAATGATAACAGTAGGGAACATTTGTCACCTGGATAGCCACAAAGGTGAAAAATACACTCTAACAGACTCAGAAATTCATATCCATTTTATGAGTAAACTGGGCGTTAAACACGGTGTACTGTTGATCCTTTAGTCTGCTGTTTATTGAGGTTATCTGTTGGCGGTAGGGGGAGGCCGGTTATTACTGGTTTATGATCCACGCTACAGGTAGATCTACCTGAGGAAATGCTAACCTACACTACTACACTGTAGATCAATCTCACACAATTAACACATGCAACAGAGAGCACTTCATATTATCTCACTTGTAGCAAATCACTATAAAAATATGTTTTCAAAATGCAAACACCTGTATCAAGATACCTGCAGTTATCTAGATAGGCTGATTGATGTTTTAAAAACATATGAGTATATATGTTCAGTTATACAAAAGTTCTTAATAATAATATCGGTTTTAGTATTTTCCGATAAAGATGATTTAATATCCAAGCATGATTAAAATAAATACATGATAATATGCATGTGCACTAAATCTTGTAGTATATGACAGTTTTGTTACTTGTTTCAATGCACGTGCTTGCCAAAGACATGTGGTTATAACTTCAAGTGCAAAAGTTCAGATGTTCAAACAGCTAAATGATTTTTGTGATTAAAATTCCCACCCACTTGCCCTCTTTGTGACTGTAGTGTTGCCCTCTATGTGACTGTAGTGTTGCCCTCTATGTGACTGTAGTGTTGCCCTCTGTGTGACTGTAGTGAACCTATTACACAAGCTATTTACTGTGTTATACAGCTGGAGATAGTGTGTTGGGCTTTTACCTTTGTACTACAGTGTTAGTCTATTTACAGGTACTTGCTGAGAGTAGGCTCAATAAGCGATGGTATGACACTGATTTAGAGTCGAGTATGTCAGTGATTTAGAGTCGAGAGTAGCAATGATTATTTGGCAGATCAGAGTCGATCCTCTGTCCTGGGATAATTACTCCTCCAAACGTTTTGGCCGTCTTGCCATTTTCCCTAGCCACAATATCTATAACCTAGCGGAAGAGTA